CTGTCCCTTGCTACTGCAGTTGGCTGTTAGAATCTCTGCATATAGCATACCTTCATTGTCTTCGGACCTGTCATTTGATCTTAGTGTACTCCTCGTCTTTTCCCTGGCCCCACGTGGGTCTGATAAGGCCTTCGCGTACAGCATGTCTCCGTTGTTGCTTACCGTCCCTTTGTCTGCGCCTGATGTCACATCTGAATTGTCATTTGTCTCTCTAATCTGTTTCAGGCTTTGTGTGTGTGTGTGTGTGTGTGTGTGTGTGTGTGTGTTGTGTGTGTGTGTGTGTCTGACGTTACCTCTCGCTAGACTACTTCCCTCTCCTCACACTCTCATCAACCCTGTCTCCACCTTATATTTCTACTCTAATTCTGGTAATAGCTTGCAGGAGTGAGTGACCAGTATCTAACAGTGATGCAGAGACCAGAATCTGACAACATGCAACCACAATAGGTGAGCAATACTTGCGCTGGCAGCGGGGCGATGACAAGTTGCCAGATGCTGATGATGTAGTCGTCGTGCATAGGCCTTGTATCAGTATTTTGAAAATCCTTCACCCGTGATGTTTATAACCATATATGCTCATACATCCCACGTTCCTCAAGTGATTTCACTTTTCACTTATTACCTGGAGTTTACCTGGAGAGAGTTCCGGGGGTCAACGCCCCCGCGGCCCGGTCTGTGACCAGGCCTCCTGGTGGATCAGAGCCTGATCAACCAGGCTGTTACTGCTGGCTGCACATAAACGAACGTACGAGCCACAGAATGGCTGGTCAGGAACCGGCTTTAGGTGCTTGTCCAGTGCCAGCTTGAAGACTGCCAGGGGTCTGTTGGTAATCCCCCTTATGTATGCTGGGAGGCAGTTGAACAGTCTCGGGCTCCTGACACTTATTGTATGGTCTCTTAACGTGTTAGTGACACCCCTGCTTTTCATTGGGGGGATGTTGCATCGTCTGCCAAGTCTTTTGCTTTCGTAGTGAGTGATTTTCGTGTGCAAGTTCGGTACTAGTCCCTCTAGGATTTTCTAGGTGTATATAATCATGTATCTCTCCCGCCTGCATTACAGGGAATACAGGTTTAGGAACCTCAAGCGCTCCCAGTAATTGAGGTGTTTTATCTCTGTTATGCGCGCCGTGAAGGTTCTCTGTACATTTTCTAGGTCAGCAATTTCACCTACCTTGAAAGGTGCTGTTAGTGTGCAGCAATATTCCAGCCTAGATAGAACAAGTGACCTGAAGAGTGTCATCATGGGCTTGGCCTCCCTAGTTTTGAAGGTTCTCATTATCCATCCTGTCATTTTTCTAGCAGATGCGATTGATACATTGTTATGGTCCTTGAAGGTGAGATCCTCCGACATGATCACTCCCAGGTCTTTGACGTTGGTGTTTCGCTCTATTTTGTGGCCAGACTTTGTTTTGTACTCTGATGAAGATTTAATTTCCTCGTGTTTACCATATCTGAGTAATTGAAATTTCTCATCGTTGAACTTCATATTGTTTTCTGCAGCCCACTGAAAGATTTGGTTGATGTCCGCCTGGAGCCTTGCAGTGTCTGCAATGGAAGACACTGTCATGCAGATTCGGGTGTCATCTGCAAAGGAAGACACGGTGCTGTGGCTGACATCCTTGTCTATGTCATATATGAGGATGAGAAACAAGATGGGAGCGAGTACTGTGCCTTGTGGTACAGAGCTTTTCACCGTAGCTGCCTCGGACTTTACTTTGTTGACTACTACTCTCTGTGTTCTGTTAGTGAGGAAATTATAGATCCATCGACCGACTTTCCCTGTTATTCCTTCATATTCGGTGTTACACTTTATATGTATGTCACACAACTGTTGTGACGTCACTGCTTCAGCAGGTCTACTCCTGCCACCTTCCCTAGTTATATATTTTATTTTTCCTTTCTCCTTTTGCTTATTAACTTTCTCACTCTCACTGTATGTTACCCCACATTTCATGTGTATGTGTGTTTGTGTGTGTGTATGTGTATGTGTATGTGTGTATGTGTGTGTGTGTGTGTGTGTGTGTGTGCACATGTGTATGTGTGTGTGTGTGCATGTGTGTGTACTCACCTATTTGTGTGTGTGCACGTGTGTGTGTGTGTGTGTGTGTGTGTGTGTGTGTGTGTGTGTGTGTGTGTGTGTGTGTGTGTGTGTGTGCGTGAGCGCTCACCTAATTCACCTAACTGTACTCACCTAATTGTGGTTGCAGGGGTCGAAACTCAGATCCTAGCCCTGCCTCTTCGCTGACCGCTGTTGGGTCCTCCCACTCCCTGCTCCATGAGCTGTATCATACCTTAAAACTATGTATGGTTCCTGCCTCCACTACATCGCTTGCCAGACTATTCCTCTTCCTAACAACTCTTTGACTCATCTGAGTCTTCAGCTTCCAGTTGTGACCCCTTGTTTTTGTGTCCCATCTCTAGAACATCCTGTCTCTATCCACGCAGTATTTTGTATGTCGTTATCATGTCTCCCTTGACCCTCCTGTCCTCCAGTGTCGTCAGACCGATTTCCCTTAACCTTTCTTCGTAGGACATTCCTTTTAGCTCTGGAACTAGACTTGTTGCAAACCTTTGCACTTTCTCTAATTTTTTGATGTGTTTGACTAGGTATGGGTTCTAAACTGGTGCTGCATACTCCAGTATGGGCCTGACGTACACAGTGTATAAAGTCTTGAACGATTCCTTACTGAGGTACTGGAACGCTATTCTCAGGTTTGCTAGGCGCCCATATGCCGCAGCAGTTATCTGGTTAATGTGTGCCTCTGGCGACGTACTCGGTATATTCACTCCTAGATCTTTCTCCTTGAGGTTTGCAATCTTTGGCCGCCTAGCCTATACTCTGTCTGCGATATTATTTGCCCTTCTCCGATCTTTATGACTTTGCATTTGGCGGGGTTAAATTCTAGTAGCCAGTTGCTGGACCACGCATCAAGCCTGTCCAGGTCTCTTTGTAGACCTGTCTGGTCCGCATCTGATTTAATTCTCCTCATTAACTTCACATCTGCAAACAGGGACACTTCTGAGTCTATCCCTTCCGTCATGTCGTTCACATATACCAAGAATAGCACTGGTCCCAGGATTGACCCCTGTGGGACCCCGCTCGTCACAGGCACGCACTGTGATACCTCATCACGGACCATAACTCGCTGTTGTCTCCCTGTTAGATATTCTCTGATCCGTTGCAGTGCCCTTCCTGTTGTATGTGCCTGATCCTCTAGCTTCTGTACTAATCTCTTGTAAGGAACTGTGTCGAAGGCCTTCTTGCAGTTCAAGAAAATGCAATCAACCCACCCTTCCCTCTTATTTCTTACTTCAGTTACCTTGTCATAAAACTCGAGTAGGTTTGTGACACAGGATTTGCCTTCCGGCTGTCGTTTATAATCTTGTTCCGTTCCAGGTGCTCCACCACTCTCCTCCTGAAGATTTTGGTTAGTGTTGAAGATTTTGGTTAGTGGCACAGTGTCTCTGCTCCCTCTCTAAGGACCCACAGAGAGATGTCTGGTTCCACCGCCTTTAAGGTATCATGGTCACTTAGGAGCATCTTCTCCTCCTCAGTTGTGTGTAATTCATCCAGCACTTGTTGGTATACCCCTTGTTAGTCTACCCCACTGTTTTGTCTTCCCAGTGTCCCAATGTGTGTGTGTGTGTGTGTGTGTGTGTGTGTGTGTGTGTGTGTGTGTGTGTGTGTGTGCATGTACTTTTATTTATGTCGTTCTTTGTTATATATTCGTATTTTTTTCCAATTATTTCGAAATGCAGATGCATAATGTATGTTTAATTAATGTTTTTCCAATAATAATAATTTTCATTATAATTATTACATTTTGTCAACATAAGAATATAGAACCACTTGCTTATTGTTTCACTCATGAACACTGAACCAGGAGGGTGAACACTGAACCGGGAGGGTGAACACTGAACCAGGAGGGTGAACACTGAACCGGGAGGGTGAAAACTGAACCGGGAGGGTGAACACTGAACCGGGAGGGTGAACACTGAACCAGGAGGGTGAACACTGAACCAGGAGGATGAACACTGATTCAGGGGGGCGAACACTGACCCAGGTGAGTGAACACCGAACCAGGAGGGTGAACACTGAACCAGAAGGGTGAACACTAAATCAGAGGATGAACACTGAACCAGGAGGGTGAACACTGAACCAGGAGGGTGAACATTGAGCCAGGAGAGTAAACACTGAACCAGGTGAGTGAACACTGAACCAGGTGAGTGAACACTTAATCAGAGAGTGAACACTGAACCAAGAGAGTGAACACTGAACCAGGTGAGTGAACACTGAACCAGGTGAGTGAACACCGAACGAGGTGAGTGAACACTTAACCAGGAGAGTAAACTCTGAACCAGGTGAGTGAACACTGAACCACGAGAGTGAACACTAAACCAAGTGAGTGAACACTGAACTATGAGGGTGAACACTGAACCAGGTGAGTGAACACTGAACCAGGAGGGTGAGCACTGAACTAGGAGGGTGAACACTGACCCAGGTGAGTGAACACTGAACCAGGTGAGTGAACACTAAATCAGGTGAGTGAACACTGAACCAGGTGAATGAACACTGCACCAGGTGAGTGAGCACTGAACCAGGAGTGAACACTGAACCAGGTGAGTGAACACTGAGCCAGGTGAGTGAATACTGAACCAGGAGAGTGAACACTGAACCAGGTGAGTGAACACTGAACCAGGTGAGCGAATACTGAGCCAGGTGAGTGAACACTGAAACCTGGAGAGTGAACACCGAGCCAGGAGAGTGAACACTGAACCCTGAAAGTGAACACCGAGCCACGAAAGTGAACACTAAACCAGGAAAGTGAACACTGAACCTGTGTCTGTGTCTGTGTGTGTACTCACCTATATGTGGTTGCAGATATCGTTCACAGTTCCTGGCCCCGTGTGTGTGTGTGTGTGTGTTTGTAGGTGTTGTTGCCATCAAGGCTGAGAGTGTCTCAGGTCTACTACGTGTCTTACTCTGAGTATGTTTGCAGGTGCCAAGGCCATCAAGGCTGAGAGAGTGTCTGAGGCCTACGCCACTGGGTCCTCCAGCACTCCTGCTGCTAGTGGGTTCGGACGCTTGAAGGACCTGCCTGGTGCTGTGCGGGTGCTGGCTTGTAATCCTACCTTCGTAGCACTCTCCCTGGCCGGGGCTACTGAAGGCATCCTACTCACCGGATTCGCCACCTTCATGCCAAAGTTTATAGAAAATCAATTCAGCATTCCAGCCAGTTATGCCGCACTCATTGTCGGTGAGTCTTGAACACAATACTGACAAATAAATGAGTAAACGTCATGTGCAGCAGTTTGCTTTATTTATTGTCAATAAATATACCAAACTTTCGCACATGTAACTTACTGATTAATGTTTGTTTTGCTTCGTGTCTGTTAAGAATTCTGATAATTTATTATTTTTTAATAGATATACGAATATTATGTATAATTGAGTAACTAAAGAAAGTGTAGTAACTCACTTGAAGTCAGAAAATTGAGTTGCTGTAGAGGACCTCAGCAGCGGGTCGAAATATACAGATTAATTAATTTTCTGAGTTTCTGTCTCCATGTTGGTTATTATTGAATGTGTATATTTGATTAAATGAATATCGTACACATACAAATATTACTCTTTTTATTTAGTGGTTAATACAGTTAAACTTCTGAGTAAAATGGCGCTGCCTCGCTAATATTTTATAAAGAAATCCTCAGTTTTAAGAGAAAAACATTAAATTTTACAAAGACACACACACAAAGTGATGCAGTGGAGGCAAGATCCATACTTAGCTTTAAGAAGAGGTATGATAAAGCTAATGGAGCACGGAGAGAGTGGACCTAGTAGCGACCAGTGAAGAGGCGGGACTAGGAGTTATGATTCAACCCCTGCAACTACAATTAGGTAAACACACACACACACACACACACACACACACACACACACACACACACACACACACACACACACACCGGGGCCAGGAGCTGAGTCTCGACCCCTGCAACCACAATTAGGTGAGTACACAGCGCAGTTAACAGTCACTCCTGGCGACTGTCACGACGATTCTAAAAATGGTCATTACTATCCTATTAATACAGTATTCCAATTTAACTTAACTCATTCAGTTCAGTCATAATTATCACTTTTTAAATAGGCATTGACCAATAAATGGTAGAGATAGGAGTGAAAATAAGATCAGGTTCACAATATTTATTTATTATTTTTGCTACTTGTAAGTTTGTGCTTCTTGTGTAACTCAGTAGCTGCTTTAATTTTAATTTTCATTCTACAAACATGATACATATGTTGTATATGAAGGTCGGGATCTACAGTAACTTTACGATCTTTGTCTCACTAATATTTAGTGATAAGTTAGGAATATAGGTACAGAGCAATACAAAGGAGACAGACATAGTTATGTGTAATGGAAGAATACAGGAAGCATACTAGAGAGAAAATGCTGAAACACAAGATAAATATGCAGAGCAACATGGACAAGAAATCTCAAAAATACATTGAAATTAACAAGATGGGAAACACTAATGAAACGGACAAAAAAAAGTGAAACATGAATATACTATGATAGTGAGATTTGCAATAATGCGTATAAGAAAGTATTCCGTGTTGAGAACGTGAGTGTTCACTGTTAAATACTGTACGTACTTTCATCCAGAAATATGGAATTATAACCTGACAAGAAAATGTTATGCCCTGAGTTGGCCAAAGTTATACGTGAAGAGGCACAGCGATGCGGAGGTACTTAGTAAGAAGCCAAGGACACAGTGAACGACTCTAACGTAATTACTACGCTACGTAAATAACTGCCCTGGCTTCTAGGGGTATACAGCCTGTCTAGGGGCATGTAAACTATTAAACCACATAAACCAACCTAGCTCCAAGCTTTTTCCTTCACATTAAGCGTTAATTATAATGGTCAATACTTATTTATTATAAGGAAGGACACAAAACTAAACATACAAAAATATAACTATATTAATACCAAACTTACATATACCACATACAACGTACCCACTATATACAGAAATCACCAGACTCCAGTACATCTTTACCATGTACTCACATTAGCTCACTAGCACACTGCTACAGTGGTTAAAAAACAAATATTTATAAACAGGGGGGGCTCCATGATCCCCCCCTTCTGCCGGCCTCTTGGCCTGCAGGCAGGACACTACACGAGTATTCTCCCAAAACTTAACCAAGCTTCTTCTCATACCAGGGCCTTACAGATATATCAGGAGAGTAATTACATACATATTAAAGCAACGTATGGCATAAACTTTCCAAAAAATCATACCCCTCCCCCTACTCACACAAACACAAAACGATGACAGCTTGTTCCAGCTGCCGCTGTCTCCGTACTGACTCAAAAACACACCTCACCTGCTCCTGTCTTGCCCTGGCTACTCCTCAGGACTAATACGCCTCCGGTTTCAGAACAAATACTGCAAACTGTCATTATATATGGAGCGTTTTTTATAGACATTTTGCAATGCCCAGCGTAATAACGGCAAAACAATTAGAGAGTGAAAGATGCTAGTGTACGAAAGACAAGAGGGACTAGAGAGATACATGACACTGGAACATTGTGAATCAGCTCGTCACACACCAGTGTCACTCACACAACACTCCGCATCACAATCAGTACTTATAGTACTTGGAAGATGTACACCAAGAACCATATTACATTATTATTATTATTATAATCAAAAAAGAAGCGCTAAGCCACAAGGACTATACAGCAGAACCATATTACAGATGTACTAACAAAGCTCACACAAAATTCAAAAAATCCAAGTGGTAATATCTTTCCCATTTTTTTTTTGCCAACACTTAGGGTTTGAAAATAAATAATACCAAAGTTAACTCTAAGTGAGCTTTTCACAGAAGCAAATGTTGGGATCATTCACAAAGTCACATGATGTAGAGAAAATGTTTTGGACACTGAGATAAATGTAAAGAATTACAGTGTAATTATGATATAGTAAATAAGACACAGCATGGAAGATATATTTTGTTGCACAGAACTGTTCTCTTCATTCTTGTTCATAAACCTGTCAGTAACAACTGAGGAATTCACGGAACAGTTAAGTAAGAAAGCTGCATCGAAAATCTTTTAATTATTCTTCAGAAACTATTATTCTCCTCAGAGATTCCACCCTCCCTGGGAGATGTGAAACAAAAGATGATAAACAACATTATCGTACTAGAAATGATGCCAGGAGGAACCTTAGCCAAACAGATACATATCAGAGAGCTAACTGGCCTCCGTAGAAATATTTCTCACTAACTAAACCTAATAGAAATGAAAATACACTAGAGTTGATGTTCACGAATAATGAGGAGCTAATCAAAGACATTACATAGAAATAGTGGAAGAATATAAATATTTAGTAAATCTAACTTCAGCAACCGGAGAATTGACCGGGACAAAATTAAAGAACTATCAGCCAGTCCCGGAGAAACACTCACGAGCATCCTAAACCTACACTTGTACTTGGAAAAATTGTATTTGGAAACACATAAACTCTGTGTATTATGTTCCGTTTAGACAAAGTACAAGAAGATCCCGTGTAGGAAGGGAACGAAGAAGAATGAACAAAAGAAAACATGGCTTGTTGAATTACCTAAAAACGAAAATGTGCCACAGCTGAAGAAAGACAATCTAAATAGAGAGATCAGCGATACATGGAAGAAATTTAAACATTCACACTAAACGGAAGAAAGAAAAAAGGAAAAAAAGCTGTACATGAAATTGACAAAAAAAAAAAAAATACTAAATATTTCCACACATACTCGAAATCTAAATCAAGAAGCACCTGTGGAACTGACTCGTGACTCAGGAGGTTCATACACTGACCACGTAAGGAAGACTCGTTCTGAAAGAGTAATATTAATCGGTGATCAACAATCCACTGAACGAAAGTAGAGTAGAGAACACAGTTTTTTCATTACCTTGACTCCCTTACAAATATATCTGACGTAAACATTAACGCAATAGAATTAGAACCAGAAATTGAAAACATGCCAACACATGCACCGCCGGGGGTACTATTAACGGAGTTTTTATTTGTAAAGACGTGTATAAAGTCACTAACTTCAATATTAAGTATACTATGGACAGAACTTAAATCCGGGAGAAATCCTAAGAATTTGTGTTTTGTAGCATTTGTGTTATACTCATAAGAGAAAGAGAGAGAGTGTGTGTACTCGCATATTTACACTCATTTATGATTGCAGAGGTTGTTTCACATTATTATTATTATAATCAAAAAGAAGCGCTAAGCCACAAGGACTATACAGCGTTTGTTTCGCAGCTTCTGGCCGCGCCTCATCGCTGATCGCTATTAAGTCCACTCTCCCCCTACTTAATGAGCTTTGTCATATCTCATCTTAAAGCTATGTATGCATCCTGCCTCCACTACATCACTCTATATACTTCATGACAACTCTATGGCTGAATAAATACTTCGTAATATCCCTGTGACTCATCTGAATTTTCAGCTTCCAGTTGTGTTCCCTTGTTGCTGTGTCTTATCTCTGAAACATCCTGTTACTATCCACCCTGTCAATTCCCATCAGTATTTTATAAATATATAATTATCATATCCCCCTTATCCCTCCTATCCTCCAGTGTCGTCAGGTAGATTTCCCTTAACTTCTCCTCGTAGGACATACCCTTTAGCTCCGGGACTAGTCTTGTTCCAAACCTTTCCACTTTCTCCAATTTCTTGACGGCTTGACCAGGTGTGGGTCCCACACGTGTGCTGCTTACTCTATAATGGGTCTGACGTACACGGTGTACACAATCTTGAATGATTCCTTACTCAGGTGTCGAAACATTATTCTTAGGTTTGCCAGGCGCCAATATACTGCAGCAGTTATTGTTTGCTGTGCGCCTCAGTAGAAGTGCTCGGTATAATACTCACCCCAAGATCCTTTTCCTTGTGTGAAGTTTGGAGTCTTTGGCCATCTAGCCTGTATTCTGTCTGCAGACTTCTTTGAATTTCCCAGTTTTCATGACTGCATTTAATGGGGTTAAATCCCAGGAGCCAGTTGTTGGAACAGACTTGCAGCCTGTCCAGATCCCTTTGTAGTCTTCCCTGATCCTCATCCACTTGAATTCTCTGCATTAGCTTCACGTCGTCTGAAAACAGGGACACCTCTGAATCTATCCTTCTGTCATGTCATTCACATATACTAGAAAGAGCGCCGGCCCTAGGACTGACTCTTATGGAACTCCGC